GAAAACAAGAATGTTGGCATCGAGCAAACATGGGTTCAAATCCCAGTTCCACTATTCCAGGCTGGGTGACTTTGAGCAGGTTATTTAATAAGTTCTACAAGTCCCCTTCCTCAATGTCAATGTCATGGAGTTGTGAGAATTTAAATTATAATGAGATAATACCCACGAACTATCTACTTAACGTCTGTATCCCTCTCTACCCCCACGCACATACACAGCAAACCCACCCCCTTCCCAGGCAAAACCTGGAGCCACGGGCTGAAATCACCCCTGGCCCGGAGCCCGGCTGCTCCCCAGGCATAAGCCCAGTTTTGCACATTAGTCCTTAGAGGTTAAAAATAACACAGGCAGCTAGCTGAGCTCGGTTAATAAAATATCCAGGTTAATTTTAGCATCAAAAAGCTCAAGAGAATATAAAATCCCTGATGCCAAGAACCACGTGCGGCCCCCCCGGCCCCTCCATTACACTCTCAAACACACACACACACGCACACACACATGCGCACGCGCACAAAAAAACCTAATGTCACTTATATGGCTCCCTTAAATTCACAAAATATTTTCTCTAATTGAGAAAACAATTTCTTCTTAGCCCTGTGAAGACACTACAAGTAACTATTTTAACTTTTTTAACAGGAGGACCACCACTTCATCTGATCCTTACAAGACCCTGTGACAAGCACACTACTGTTTCCCATGAAGGAAATCGGGTTACATACAACACTTTTAGCAGAGTGGACCTAGAACCCTGAGATTCCAACCACTGCGATCTGGGCATTTTCACCATGCCCCCTCCTCGCCAGCAGAATGGCCAAGGGAGGCACAGACTAGGGACCCTCAGCCACAGTTCCCTGTCCTCCTCTCTCTAGGCACCCTGAGGGACCTCCTGCTTCTAGAGGGATTATGTTTACAACTAGGTGGAGGGAGGATAGGTAACCGCTGGGGCAGGCCCCCCCCACACGGCCACATTGTGCTGAATCGGGGCGGGGGGGAACTATCAGTTCAGATGTGCTCATGCTGAACCCGGACTGTCATCGCCCTTCTTGGTGGACAAGCTCTGCTCTTACAGAGAAGGACCATGAGAGCTTGCTCCGTGCGCAGTGCACTGGATCCAAGGAGAAGGGAGAGACCGGTCAGAGGGAGTCTTGCAGCAAGGAACCAGGCGGAGCTCGACCTTACATGAGACACACACACCAACACACCAAAAAGATCCAAACCGCACCCTCAGGCTCATGATGAAAACCAATAACAGCAAGAGGGCTTTTCTCACTCCGAATTACAAGGCCAGGATATTTTTTAGCTTGAGAGAAATACTTTTGCTCTTAAACAGAAACATTTTCCGAGATATAAGATGACACTTAAAAAAGAGTACTAACTATTAAGGAAAAAAGAAAAATAATCACTGGGAAGTAAAGCTATCTCACAATGCCTAAAGGAGTGCTGGGTCCAAAATAACACTGCCCAGCAGATGTGCTCTCATTGTGGGTTCTTCCCCCAATCAGTGCCTACAAATCTTCAAGTTGCTTCCCTTCCAGCGCTGAAGTCCTGACTCATGGAAAGTCAGAAGAACACACTTCCTCAAAGTAGCCATCTCATAGGAAGTGCGGTCAGTCTTACACGACATGAGATATTGGTGTAAAAACAGTAATAACTGGTACCAAAGACAGACAATGTTTAAGATTTTTAAGTGTCCAGTAGAACTATCCAAAATAACTCTGAAAGATTTAAGTGTAGAAAACAACAGGTTCTTCAAGACAAGGATTCAAAATAGTTACAATAAAAATACCTCCCTTTTATTTGGCACTTTCTTATGTATTGTCTCATTTGCAAAAGGTAGAAGAAAAAAGAAAGGGGAAGAAGAAAAAAGGAAGAGATTCCTCCTATTTTCCCCAAGTTTTGTCTCTCAATGAGACCAAGCACCATCACACTTTCCAAAACTGTTTAAGAACTAAAAGGCCAAGGCTCTCATACCTAAAAATCTCTTCATCCCCTCCAAAATGTTCTGCCTTTTTTTCTTAGCAACAGTAGTGGTATTGCTTACTAGTATAACTTTAGGGAGAATTTTTCCTTTTGTCTTTTTCTAGGAGTGAGGGGGCGGGCATTAATGTAAGCCTGAACAACACTGTCTTGTAATCTCCCACCGGATGCAGTAGACAATAATAGCCTGCATTTTGCAAATGGAAAAAAGAGTCTATGAAAGGGGAGGACACTTGCCCTGGGTCATCCAGCAAGCCAACAGCAGACATGGGGCATGCAGCCAGCTAGCCTGGAGAGAAGGCTTAGAGATGAATGGATGGCCCGCCAGTGTCTCCGAACAAGGAGAGGCGAGTGTGCATGTGACTGTGTGTGCAGTGACTCATGCATGTCTGCCCCTCCTCTGTATCAACTGCTGTGTCCCTCATCATCATGTCTTCAAGACCAGGGCATTCAGGCAAGTCAGAGCCAAGACTGGCCACAGAGGACTAAAGAAAGAAATCAGCATACCACTTACCATGCTCAGGATCATCATCATCATCCCATTCTACTAACGAACATTCCCTCTAGTTAATTGAGACTAAGCCCCCAAACCAGCCCACCCACAGTACACCTTCGGGGTTTCCAGCCCAGGCTCTAACTCAGCAGCACAGCCTTGACCATTTCTGCACTCAGATGCAGGAGGTACCCTGCCTGTGCCCTCTGTAGGCCCTGGCTCTCTGAATGCCTCCAGCTACAAAGGCCAGTCACAGATGTCTCCCTCTTGCAGCCCAGCGCTGTAGGTGAAGACCCTCAGACAGGCGAGAAAACAGGGGCTTCTCAGAGCCCCTGTTTTCTCCCTGAGGAGCCCCTGTTTTCTCTCCAGTAAGTTGGACGGCTGATGCACAGGCGTTTCTGCCTCACTGCTGTAGCCCCCAAACATGGGAGGGAGGTGAGGAGGCTCCAAAGGTTTTAACAATACCCAGTCCCCACATGGAGTTAAAGACAGCAGATGTTCCAGTCACTGCACTAATCCTCAGCTGAACCGACTGTTTCTCTCGCTTGTTTAAAGGGGAGCACACAAGAGAGAACGCCTAACCCAGCAGCGTCTTCTAACCCCGTTCCTTCCACACTGGGACCTCCCCACCACCCCCCGCCTGTGTTGAGGTCCAGAGCCCTCCTACAAGCATGCACTGACAGGCCAGCAGAGCTGCTCTCCTGGACCTTCAGGTGTCTCCTCACTCTTCTGCTTCACATATTATGCCATCCTGGATAGAAATCTATCCTCTCTGCTTAACAAATCACAATTCCAGAATCCTCCTTGAGTAGAGTCTGAGGTGGGCTGGCCATGCTGGGCCTGGACCACACTATACCCAGACCCATTCCAGCCTGCTGCTCCCAGAAGCCTGGCACATTTCCCCCACGGCCACACCCTCACTCCAATGCCCCCTTCTTGCTCCCCTTGATAAGGAAGCACCTGGAATCCTGCAGGGTGACATCCCCCACACAACTCACTGGACCCAGGCATTGGGTGAGGGCTCCTGATCGAGGGGACCCTAAGAGAGACACTTTCCCCTAATCCCCCTTCAGGTGGTGAGCAGCAGATTTCAACCAAGTAAACAAGAGAAACCCTCTCTCTCCAGGCAGACTCCTCAGGGTTGAAGTGCTGCCACATCCTATCTGCAGTGCTTCTGAGACAAATATCAACAGCATCTCAGCAATGATCCATAAACCAAAATAAAGCAGACAGGAAACAACACGCTGAATTGGGGTAGCTGGAATTCCTCAGGCAGCATCAAATGTCATCAACAACTGACATTGCAACAGTCACTGGGTGCCTGGCTCTGTTCCCTGTGGCCCTTTTTACACGGGAATAAATGGGAATGTGGAGCTCTCCTAGGGACAGGGAGTTCAAGAGGTGAGAAGGACCCTGAGGATGGCGACACTCTGGGTCCTCAGAAGCCCTCTCCAACATGAACTGTCCTCTCACCCAGCATATTTATGGCATTAGTGTGTAACGGTAATTCCAGGCACCGCTCTTGTTTGAGGAAGGCAGAGAGGGAGGGGGGCCCAACTTGCACATCACTCTCCTAAGATAAAACAGAACTGGGAAAAAGCAAATCTCTCCAGATAAACCCAGGAAGTCCAGATATAGCCCTCCAGCTCACTCCAGAGTCTGCATTTCATTTACCTCCCCCAGCTCTTCAGTCCACTGAGAAAGGCAGAATCCTCCCCGGTGACATGGCCTGAATGGCAGGCCCTGGTGGCCAAAAGCTCCCTCCGCCAGTTCTCAATGGAAGGTGGGGGAGGGGTAGCCCCAGTGTCTTCCTGCTCTAAGGAAGCCCTAGGCCAGAGTAAGTGCCACACATTCACACCCAGACATATGCACACACAAATACACATTCACCTACACAGATGTGTGCACACACAGAGACACATGCATACACAAAAACACACACATCCACCCACACGGACCTGTGCACATACAAACACCAGTCAGCAGCCCGACCCAGCCTCATGGCCTTGGGGAAACCTGTGGAAGAGCTTATACGTTCCAAGAAAAGGAAGTTTCTTGGTGCAGCAGCTGAGAGATGCCGAACCCTGAGGTCGGTGAATTTGGCACCTCAAATGCACGCATCCAGAGAGTACCACACGCACTCACGCATTTATGCACACACTCATGCACACACAGGCACGCACGCAGGCACACACTCCTAGCGGGGACGGGACCTGCGTCCTGCACCGCACCTCCCCCTCCATACAGGCGACCCCACCCCCCGCAATGCGCCTCCAGGGACTTGGGGCCGCTAGCGACGCAGGGAAGGCGGGAGAGCTGCGTTCCCCGGAGCCGCGGGGCCCGGCTTGGCCCAGCCAGTCCTCTGGGGGAGGTGAGGAGGGGGCTGCGGCTGGCGGACCGACCGTCCGCAGGAGGTGGGATGGGGGCCTCGACCGGGAGCGCGCATCTCCAAGAGCAAGTCAGGGACTTGGGGACGCCGCCGCAAGACCCTCAAAGACCCCGCGGTCTCTACCGGCTCCCGGGCGCTCACCGATCTTGATCTTCACGCTCTGGAAGACCCGGAGCCCCTCTTCCTCCACCGCCATGCTGGGCGGAATCCGCGCGCCGAGCCCCGCGGAGCAGCCGGAGCCGGAGCGACCGCGCAGTACCCGCGCTCAGCGCCCTACCCTGCGCTCGGCAGGTCCTGGGCGCCCCAGTCGCCGGGCTCCGCCCATTGGCCCTGCCCAGCTCCCCATTGGCCAAGACCCGCAGAGGGGCGGAGAAGAGGTGGCTTGTCCCACAGCACGATCTCAACTGCCCATTGGACAAGTCCCGAAGAGGGGCGGGTCTGTCTCAAAAGAGGCATCCAAAGGGACCCGGAGAGGGGGCGTCGGGGAGGGGACCAGGAATGAAAGGACTTGAGGGGTTGCGGGGTTATCGAGGGATTAAGCGCGGGGCTGCAGGAGGTGGTGAGGCAGGGCAGAGGGGACCGGACTGGAGGCGGCGGGAGGCAGAGCGCGGGGGAAACTTGGCTGGTAGGGGAAGGGAACCAGGCGGGGCGGGAAGTGGGAGGGGGGATGCTGGGACTGAGCCAAGTGCAACGCTGTCTGCCCTCGCTGACCCCCAGGCATCTGCAGGGTCCCTTCCTCACCTCATTTACTTGTCTATCTCAAAGTGTCCTCCTGACTTCCTCTCCGCTTCCCTCCCTCCTCCCCTTTATCTTCATAGATACACAACAAAACAACAACAACAACAAGCAAACACACCCTGCATATACCAGAATACAAGCTTAATAAAGATAGAGCCTGTTCTTTTCACTGCTGTATCCTCACTTCCAAAAAAAAAAAAAAAAATGCTTAGGTGTGTGTTGAAAGGATTAAGGACCATTCTTTACCCTAACTCCTCGAGCCTTCTTCCAGTTCCTCAATCATTTGCTCGAGTTTATCCTCTCAAGACCTTCATATGTGGTGTTTACTGGTAGTTTAAAATGGAATTTAAGAAAGCAGCTTCTCCTTGGTTCAAACCCCTGTGTTGCCGCCTCTAACTCCTGGGAAGGTTTCTGCAGTGCGTGCTGTTGTGCGCCATCCAGACTTTCCTCAAGACCAAGGCTTTGCCTCCATCAGGATAACTGAATAGCACCCCTCGCTCCTGAGCTTCTCAGAGGATTGGCTGAGGCTTCCGTAGCAACTGCACTGTGGTTAAGCTGCTTCTCTACCCAATCCTTTTCCCTCAAATGCTCACAGGACTTTTTTTTTTCTGAGAATAATACTGATAAACTCCTGCATATAGATCTCTGCCTCAGACTCTGTTTCTAGGGGAATCCAGCATAAGACAGTTGGGGCCAGGAGTGTATAGGAACAGCCTCTGTGGTGAGATTTGAGAGCTGGATGCCCACTGGCACATCACTGGTGGCACAGCAGTGCTGCCATATTTTAGCAGTGGTGAGCTGTAATGGAAGTCTGTGAGAGGAAACACACTGGCAGGTGCAGTATCTCAGGCACTGTAGAGGTTAAGAAAAGCAATAATTATCTGAACTGTGGAATCAGGTGGCTCTTGCTGAGGACAAGGCAATGAAAAGATCACAATTTAAAGAAAATTGTGAGAGCTTCCTTGATACCATGTAAAGACACCCTCATCTCCTGCAACTAGAGAACCAAAAGAAAAGAAAATGCTGTGGATCAGAGCCAGGATGTAATCATGAAGATAGCAGCACTCGAGAAAAGATTGAATGCTCAACCCAAAGTCAGGACCCTGGTAGTGGAGAAGAGAGACTCTGAGACTTGGGGGAGGGTCGTCTGGACTAATGCACTCAGCAATCTTGAATCCCAGATTTCCCTAAATTTCCTGGATTTGAAGAGGTGTCCCACTTCTCCCTGTTAAAAGCAAGTACTATCTGTGCTTGAAGATGATGCGGAGACCTCTGCAAGACAATGAAAACATCTCAATGGTCTACCTCCAGCTCACTCCTCCACAACACTTGCATCACCCAGCTGGGTAAGCGCTGGGCCTGACAAAAGAGGAAGTTCATATCTGCAAAGAAGCTTTAGGATGAGGAAATCTGTGCCAGTGGGAACTGGGAAAATAAATGCAGGACCAGATTCAGAGAATGTTGTATTCAGGGGAGGCAGAACATAAAGGTAGATCAAGGTTAGAGTTTACTGATATGGGATCATTCAACCATGATGCAGGGTTTGGCACCCTGTTAAGGATTGCACGCTGCCAGTATGGCATTTGGAAGCTTATAGAAAGTAATGTCCCATACTAAATGAGGTGGAAATGCCAAATAGGCGTGGCAGACAGCAGAGGAAAGCATCCAAATGCTCTGAGAAGTGGCACAGGAGAGTAAATATACTCCATAAAACCGAGAAACCTAAACTAGGGAAGCCCAGAGGACACCCCATTTACAAAGGTAATGAGGAATGTGCTGGTGAGATCCTCAGCAGTGGCTGGCCACTGTAGGACTGGGCTGAGGGTAGAGATGTTGTTACAGGGAGCATCGGGCTCCCTGACAGCAATGAGGATGATTGGATGGTGACATAATAGGGGCCAGGTTGCGACATTTAACCATCAGAAGCAAGGTAGGTGCAATTATTGTAGTGAGCAGCGAAACTGGAGTGACACCCTGAATTGCAAAGAGCTATAGAGATGGTCAGCCGAACATGGCATCGGGAGCAGGACAAATAGCTAGCCAGCACATGTATTGCTCAATTTATACAAAGGAAATCAAAGATAAGTATCAGGAGGCTGAAGAAAGTTGCCCCAATAAAACATTAGAATCTCTTGCCCAGTTTCCAGACACGAACCACTTCTCATCCTCAGAACCCACTGACTGGTAGAGAGGACCTGGCTATAAGTATATATGGTAAGGATTCTCTTAGGACTTCCCCCAAAGAGGACTGTGGCCATTTACTCAGGTAATTGTACACCTGAAAAAGGAAAACACTTAGATATTTTGAGGGCTGTTGGTCTCAGGGTCTGAGTTGACATTTGTACCCAGGCACCCAAAGAGTCATCGTGCCCCCGTTAGAGTGGGACTTGTGAGGTCCAGGAGTGGCTCACAGCTGGTCCACTGGATTCATTGACCAACCAAGTGATCATTTCCCCTGGCATCAAATGTAAAGTTGGTATGGACATATGTGACAGTTGTCAGAACACCACATTGGCTCCCTGATGTGTGAGTTAAGCGTTATCCCAGCAGGGAAGGCCAAGTAGGGTGCCAAGATGGAAAACCAAAAGCAATAATACATCCTGGGCAAAAGATCTATACTGTTCTTAAAAACCTAAAGGGTCATTTCATTCACCAGTCCCATTGCCTATACCAAATAGATTCTAGAGGATGACAATGGGACATCACAAACCCAATGACACAGTTGCCCTGTCTGCAGCTGCAATGCCAGCTGTAGTGCCACTGCCAGACCACATCAGCACAGTCTCTGGTCCATGGACTATGGCCATACAGCTGGCAAAAGCACTTTTCTCCATCCAGAATAAGGAATCTCACCTCCATCGGGTTTTTCCACCCTCTGATATGATATAGTCCAAAGAGATCTAGACCATCTATCTGGACAGTCTACAGAATAGCAGTTTGGTTTGCTATATTGATGACATCATTTTAATCAGCTAGTTGAGCAAGAAGTTGGCAGTCATCGGAGATTTTGATAAGATGTGTGGCTCTGAAATACATGTGCTCTAAAAGGTAAGAAATAAATTTATGAAGATTCAGGGGCTCCCCATATCAGTGAGGCAAGATGTTTCTGAGCATGGGCCTCTCCCTCTAAGAAGCATGAAGACCTATGCAGCATACTTCCAGGATTACTTTCTTAACAAAATTCAACCACCACAGAACTGCGCAAGCACCATGCTTTCTCAAATTTATGTTCTTCACAAAAGAATTTGTCTAGAAATGTAAAGGAAGTGACATTACATCTGTTTTGAAGCTGAGAAAAGCCACTGTGGGATTCTCCAGTCTCTCTCTTTTGCTGTAGCAATTGAGAGGCCTCATTTTGAAACTCAGAGATAAGATAAAAGCAGCCTAGACCCTTGAGTCACCACATATAGAGGGCAGCCACCTTTGTAAAAGTGAGAAATGAACTTCTGTTGTGTAAAGCCAATAAGATTTGGAAATCATTGGCATAGCCCAAGACTATCCTATCCTCACTAATAAAATACCTTAAAAGAGTTTATATGGAATGTCATTTGATTAATATCAATGCACCTGCCAATTTGAATTAATAGCAAAATATAAGCCCAGATACCTAACGGATTTACCTGTTAAACAGATATGTGTAATGCCCTGATTACTTATTACGAAGACCATTTGTTCAAAAGGACTATTTATTTTTATCATAGTAAAGTTTGACTTGTTATTTTTGACCCTAATTAGCCAAATGTCAAGGTGATTTTTGAAAATACTTCTGAAATCAGCAATTAACCAGACTCCAAATCTTGTCTTCCTAGCTATGACAGGAAGGTATGTATTTTTTTTCTCCTAAAATCTCTATCAAACTATCCCAGAAGAAATTAAAAAAGAGGGGTACCTGATTCACATCATTTAGGAGGAGGATTTGCTCTCAAGACAATTCTGACACTTGATTCTCACAGCAGAATCACAACACAGGCCCTAGAAAACCCTATATCTGGCTCACAAGATGCCTCCTGTCCTGGGCACCAGACACTGGAGACCCAGCGATAAATGCAGCAACAAGTCCCAAAATGGTCTTCGGCATTGTCATGACCAGGCCAAACAAATCTTATCAGTGGCCAGTAGGAGGTGCTCCTTTTGTAAAACATTAGATTGAGAGACTCACATTATAGTAAATTTCAAAAGGGCAAAAAATGTACTTGTGAGCCCATCATTTTAAGGCAAATATTTTTATTTCCTAATTTCCTTCGAGGTTTTGTTAATATTGATATACAATTTTACACAATGGCCATACAAGTTGTTTGAATGACTATTTACTCTGTTTAGTGATTCATTTATTTAGCAAACCTTTAGTGAACACCTAGCATGTGTCCAGAACCTGCGCGCTATGTAGGAATACCAAAGAAATACAACACAGACCCCTTAACCTCAGAATACTGACAGGAGCTGTGTAGGTACCACTAAATCACTGGAGAGCTTGCCTTCTCCACAGCATTCCCTCTGCCTGCAGTCTATTCAGTTTGGGATGATCCTGCAAAAAAAAGATAAACGGAAAAGAAAATCCTAGAAGTAGACATGGTCTCTAAGGTATAGATACAATGCCAGGACTGCATGAAAAACCGAAAGCCCGTTTCTGAGGATGTGGTGGCTATGGGAAACTGAAGAGCCACTTTGGATGACCCCGCCAGGGGATCGTCTTCACTCCTTCATGTAGCTTAGTTGCCATTACTCCAGTTTCAGGGGTGTGGGTGGCACAGAAGAGAGTGAATGGTGGCAACTGGCTGAGGAGGAATTCTGCCAACCTGTGCATCATGGGGAGGCCCGGTGACCACAGAGCAGCCAAAAGACAAAGCTGGGGCTCAGGAGCAAATGCAGCACCTGCCTGTGCATATTAATAAATTTTATTTAACTACGAGTATAATAAATGATTGACTGGCACTACTTTTATTGTATTTGTGATCTATGATAAACCACTTAAATTCTTTTCTATTTCTTCCAAATAATTTCACTCTTTTCCCTGATTATGTGGAAGTGTCCGCATCTGTGAAACAGGGTAACAATAGTACCTGTGTACAGGGCTGCTGTTGGGAAAGTGAGTTGGTATATGGAACAGTAACTAGGCCAGTCAATATTGGGCAAATAAGAAAGTCAGTTCTCAGTGGCTTTCTCATCAATCACTCCCTTAGGGCAAGGGAAGGGCTTTCCTCTCTTACCCTCCTGACCCAGAAAACGGAAATGAATACCTGGTAGATGATGGCTCTCCTGTGACGTATGCAGGGCCTGCAGAAGTCATTGAAGCACAGACAGCAGCTCTGGCTCCGGGATCTCCGGATGTGAGTCTGCGAAGGTTCCCTCACCAGGAAGTCGGTTGCTTCCAGGCCCCCACATGCTCCCAAGCACAGAGACCTCTGAAGCTAGGCAGAGGGAGGCCTCTGGTGATCGAAGGCGACAGTGGGCCCATGTTCACACTGAGATCCTTGCTCACCTCTGTGGGAAGAAAATATTCTTCAGAAGACATTATGCACGCAAAATCACCAATGTTCACTGATAACCAAAACCCAGAAACCTGCCCTCTGACAGGTAAATGGCTAAACTACTCAGCAACAGAAGGATACAAACTACTACTGATCTGCAATGACTTTCTTGAAATGACAAACTATACAGATAGGGAACAGATAGTGGTCGTCAGGGGTCAGGGGAAGGGGAGGAGGTGGCTGTGACTGTAACAAGGCAGCAGGAGGGACCCTGAGGGACAGGAATGTTGTGTATTGACAGTTGTGGTGGCTGTACAAACTTACATGTGATAAAACTGCACATTTCTAGACACACAGGCAAATACATGCAAAATTGGTGTAATTGGAACAAGATTGGTGGATCATATCAATGCAATCTCCTGGCCGTGACCTTGTACCACAGTCACCACAGTCATGCAGGATGTCACCATTGGAGGAAACTGGGTGAAGGGTACCTAGGATCTTTGTATTACTCCTTATAATTGCATGTGAATGTACAATTATTTCAAAATTTAAAAAAAAAAAACATTTAAAGAACAATATGGCGGTGATACCAACGCCTGCCATTCTTGCTACAGCCCCACCTGGGCCCACATCCTCTCCATAGGGAGGCTGAAATCTGACTACCCACAGGAAGGGTGTGACCTCATGTTTACTCACCTTGCCCTGCAAGGAAATCGTCCCCTTGTTGTCATGAGAGGAAGGCTGAGGCCAGAGGAAACCTCAAAGTTCTCACTTGCAAACACCCTGCCATCCCCGTTTGACCCCAGGAGACCCAGCCACATCTGAAGACTGCGATTTGCACCTGCAGCTTCACAGAGTCCAAGGGCAAAGCCGGCTCCTGATGCATTTTTTTCTCTTAAGGGTCTTCTTTCCCAAAACCTTCTCGGCCTCTCTGGGCCTTATCTCCATTTCCCTCAGGAGCAAGCAGGCTTTCAGTAACCCGGTCGCTCTCTTAACTTTAAGATTTGGGGCTACATTAATGGATGGTGAAGTTCTCTTGACAGTCACTCTCAAACCGAAATTGGATAGAGAAGCCTCTGGAGCTCCCAGTTCCAGAACTGCTCAAACTTCTTCTTAAAAGACTCACAAAAGTAAATACATTTTAAGTCATGACCTGATACACTCACACAAATTTTACGAAACAATACTTATCCTGACTAATATAATGTGCTCTATAATTTTATATGTTCTATTCTAGCTTTGCATAAACTAATCTGGTTTATTTAATTTAAAAATCCATTTCAGGTGCTCGCTTCGGCAGCACATATACTAAAATTGGAACGATACAGAGAAGATTAGCATGGCCCCTACGCAAAGATGACACACAAATTCATGAAGCATTCCATATTTAAAAAAAAAAAAATCCACTTCAGGACCCTCAATTACATAGTAAGCCACTGGTGTACTGGAGGTATTGGCTCACAAGCTCCAAAGATTAAATTTTCAGGAATTTTGCCCACTGGTTGTTAAATGTGACCATTATTAAAAATTAAATTCTATAGGCTTACAAAATTATATACTTTACAAAATTATATAAACCCAACTCTTGAGTTATCAATGTTTATCATATAGTGGAAATAAAATATAATGACCTGCCCTTTGTATCTCTTCCCAATTTGGAATAATTACATCATGGAGATCAGAAAATTTACACTCTCTCCTCTTCTTTTTCCCAGTCGGTCGTTAAGCATTTGCCAGCACATCATTGGTTGTGACCCACAGTTTGAAATGCCCTGTTCTAGTTAATTCCCCTCACCCATCCCACCTTTGTGTTTAATGTGAAGAGACTGATGGATGGTTATGGGAGAGCCCAGGACACAAGAGTTCAAGCTGGAAGAGGTACCCTCTCTTTTGATTCTGGTCCAGTGCTGTCACCCCCACAAGTTCTGCCTCTCGACTCACCCCAACCTGGAGGTAAGGACTGCCTGCACGCAGCCGGGCCACGAGACTCTGGGGCTAGAGGCAGAACCCCTTCCCTCTCTAGGGCTGATCATGCCCTTCTGAGATGTGGACATGGGATGGCGGGAAGCTGGTCCCTGCTCCAGGCACATCTGCTCTGCCCACGTGTGTCCCAGGCCCCACGGCCAGCTGGATGCTGGTCTTCTTGGTCAGGCAGCCGATATGCATGCAGCACGGGGCAGGGTGCTGGGAGAAAGAAGGCAGTCGTGGAGACCCAGTGCCCAGCTTTGGGCAAGTGTGAGATTGTTGCTCTCCGTCACGCTGATACGGCCCTCTCCTCCAGTGTGCTTCTTCATTTGCCCCTTCCAAACTTGTTTGTGACACATTATTTAGGAAATAAGGGAAGAGAAATGAGAGTGACTAAGAACATTAGCCCTTAGAATTGTTCCTCCAAGGCTGCCCCTAAATTAGAAAGAATGTCTGACAGAGAAACTGTATGTAGTTACGTGTTGCTGGACATGATGGGCCACTAATGCCCTTACAAAATGTTTAATTACAATATTCCAAAGTGTTTCCCCCCCCCAAAGTGTTTTTCTCCCATCACCAATTTGAATTGCTATGAAAGCAACAATTAGGGAAATTTAAAAGAATGTGCTCATAGTCCCACCTCTCTTACATGAAAGCTATTTTTGTATTTCTATACTCATCTTCAGCAGTCTTGTCTCTGACATTTGATTTTCACATAGTTGTAATCAAGATCCTAGACAGCTAGAGCCTCAAACCATCCGTTTGGAAACTATTGCATATCCCTTTCTACATTTTAACTGAATGGGCACTGAGGCTCTGAGGGTTGGCCCTGGGCGGAACCGCTATACTGGGCTCTGCTAGTCCCCTTTGCATATCTGAAGGGGATGAGTTAAGCGAAGCCACAGTTTCACTCTTCAGTTACAACTCTTTACCCAAATAGGTTTAAATAAAAACAGACAGAATTAGCAGGGCCTCTTTTCCTCTGGAGGAAGAACAGCTGCAAACTACAGTGTTCCTCTAATGAGGTAATGGCCCCATACAAGAACATCGATGAGCCCCAGTACCCTAAAGTTCTCCAGCCTTTATTGTTGCCATTCCCACTCCAACCACCCTAGACACAGCAGCTTCATGAAGCCTCGGAAGAAGGAAGCAAAGGCAACTGGAAGACCCACAGGACAGATGGGGCCTCCCGGGCTGAAACACCATGTTTGGGAACTGCGGGTAGCAGGAAGCCATGAGGCTCCCAGCTGGATTATCTTGTGTAATTCTAGCTAAATTCTGGCTCGCACAGTCAGAGACTCAGAATATAAATTTATGGTGCTGAATTAACTAACTCCTGGGATGTTACCTGATCCTGTGACCAAGTTACCTTTAAAATAAATATGTAGACTCTTAGGAGACATCTCAGTCTTACTGAGGTAGATTTTTAAAACATAAATTTGTATTTTATCAGGCTAGAAATTTGGGATGAGTTAGAGCACGGTCACTACAAGCCACTCGGCACAGGAACAAACATCTATTCTTTACTTCTCAGTAAGAGGAATCCTCTGGAAACTTGATTCAGGCCATGTCACTCTTCTGCTCAAACCCTGGACTAGCCTCCCTTCTAAAATCTCAAACCCCTACCATGTATGACCTGATGTGATCCAGCTGTGCTGTCCTCTGCCTTGACCTCCCACTGCTCTTTTTCTCACTGCTCCAGGCCACTGGCCTCATTGCTGTTCCTTCGAGCTCTCTCCTGACTCAGAATCTTTCACTTGCTGTTCTCTCTGCTGCTGGCAGGCTCTGTCTCTAGATAGCTGCATGTTGCTCTCTCTTCTTCCTTTGGAACTTTGCTCAAATGATACTTGTCAGAGAGATTTCAAATAACTGCCCTCCCACCTGCATTGATTCTCTATCTCTTCACTCTGCTTTATTTTTCTTCATAACATTTACCACTGCCTGACCTACTATTTGTGTAATTGATTGCTTATTGTCTGTCTCTCCCAGACTCAGTGGGGTGAAAATATCTAATTTATAACTCACTTTATAATACTAAACAAAACACTAATCTACATTCAGACTGATGATGCTTTTGTAGGTTTTTTTTTTTTTCCCCCAAATCTTTGAGAATCTGCTTCATGGATGAATTGGCACATTCAAGGAGTAATAAGAATAATAGTGCTGATGATGTCAAAAGCTGCCACCTGCCATCTGCCGCGAGCCATGCCATGCTAGAGCGTCACACTCTCGACCTCACTGGACTCTCACGACAAGCGGTTAAAGTCCTTATGACCCCCACGTTATATAAGTACAGAACAGAGGTTCGGCGACTTTCCCAAAGCCACACAGCTAGTCTAAGAACTTTTAAATAGGCAGTTCTTCATTGTAAGAAGAAAAAAAAAAAAGTCCAGTCTTTACCGGGCACCCTTTCTGCTCACTCTGAGAATCAAAAGTCAGGCTTTTTGAACTTCATATGCTGTAGTTTTTAAACCCTGGTGAATACAAATCTATAAATAGAAAGGACTGTAACTCAGGGATGATTGGGTACTGGCCCAGCTTCTGGAGCTAACCAATGTTCTCGATGTTTTTTATGCCATCCCCGAAGGGGTTCTCAGCCTGAGCTGAATGACTCACCACAGCTCAGCCAGTCACTTCCTTCCTGCTTTCTGGAGGAGGGCTTCCCGCAGGGAGACAAGAATTGCCACTCCAGCCACCTCCATACGGTTCGAAAAGCCAGCAAGCAGTCTTCTGTTTGTGTGTGTGGCCTGTTTTCTCTGATCTGATCTCCCTTTACACACACATACACACGCAGGTTACTTTCACATCCATTTAAATGAGTAACTTAGAAAGAAACTGAAAAAAAAGAAAAGAAAAGAAAAGAAAAGAAAGGTTATTAGACTCAAATGGAAATTAAAAGGTGGATCAAAATGAGAGTTAAGATCTGTGGCATCATAACTGTTGTTGTAATTGAGGATTTTTTCTAATTTAGCAGCTGTTCTGAACTTGATGACTGATACCTATTTTAAGTGGTGAGTCAAGGATCCCAGAGTTAAAGTTTGATGGGTTTTGTCGGGTGTTGAGGAGATGGGAAGCCACCAACACAATTTCTGAACCACTGACCCAATGGCAACGTCTTGTTGGTAGATTTCCCCAATTCCTTTCCAGGCCTCAATGCTGAATTTAAAAAAAAAGACCCAGGACAAGAAACACATACAGATTTAGTCTGTTTTACTTTTAAGTGGATTTAAGGCAAAGAGTTGGAAAAAGCAAGCAGAAGCAACTGCTCCAGCTCAAAATGAGAATCTAAGATTGACATTTCATCTCTGGCTCTATTCTTGCCTGTTCAGTGTATATTCGAATTGTGTGTCTTAATTGCCCAATGAAATAATCAAAAATACAAAAAAAAAAAAAAAATGGTTGTATAGTATTTTGAAATTTCTACTCAAAAGAACAGACTTTGGTTCTTTTTCAAGAAGATCTTATGCTTTTATTTCATCTGTTTTCATATTTTCTTGTTCTCTAAACTCAATGCCAGCATTTAAACTATATATACACAGGCACAATTTTGTGATTATCAACATGAGATTCTCTTAAGATAGACTCAGACATTCAAAAGCCTCTGTGCTAACAGAATTTTTTAAAACTCCCAACCATATCCATAATGCCCTTGGAAGCTTGACTTTTCTATGAGATTTTCAGAGCTAATTGGCAAGACCCAGCTCGACCTAGAGCATTGGCGAGAATCACCAGCTATATTTAACTTCCCGGAGCTATACTGAAATGCTTAATTCCTGGCGAAGTTACTGGGTTGAGTAACAAGACTATCCAAGACTCTGAGAGGCCCATGTTACCACTAATCTCAATGCTAACTTTTCTCCCAGAATACAGGAAGCAATGAGAGCAGCCAAGGTTTCTGATGTTCAGTGTGTAGCAGACACCGTGATAAAGACATTAAGTGCACAAATTCACTGCAATGCTCAGTAAAGCTGGTTGTAAGGTGGGACTTACACGATTTCCATCATGGCCCCAACAGGCTGCTGTGACACATCAAATTCCATTCGCTGGCCCATGGCAGACCTAGGGGCTCAGGGCCCACGTTGCATCTGCTCTGTTATCTGCAGCTCATGGTTATGCTCTCAACAGCCCATAATCATTGTACTCTGCTGTTTTGGCAAAAGATACCAATCCCCAGACTACAGATAATCACATGTAGAAGTCACCAGCAGTCAATAACACACGGGCAATTTCTCAGGTAGCAGAAAATAACCTATACTATGTGCTTTTTATATCTTAAGTCACCTGCGAAATAATGGGGATATAGCAAAAATTTATAGGGCCACTGTTTTTACTTTGCCTCAAATTTTCTCCTTCAGAAATAAAAAAGAGATTGCATTTTCAATCACACACCCACTTCAGTAAATCGTCTTGTTTTTTTTCTCTGTCCCAATAAAGGTGTTTCACATATTTTTACCAGGACTGGGCAACAGTGACATATCACCGACAAAGCACAATAAATTAAAAAATGTAATTGAGTAAACAGGTACTGATTTCAGAACATCATCCTTTATTCTCTTTCCTTAAAAAAGTCTGTGCTTACCAGTCTCAGTGTTACTGAAGCAAAGCAAGTATTTTTTTTAATGACACACCTATTGCACTCAAATATTAATTATGCCAATTACAAGTTTCTCTTCATCACTACTGATGGCGTAATTTGACTGCAAGTGCTTTGCAGATATATACACTTGGTGTGTCAGTAACTCAATCAACTGTTAGGTTTATTCAGATTTCTAAAGGAGATGATGAGCATGTGCCACCTGCTGGAAATCATGACGATGTCCTCAAGTGAAAAGAGAAGCCCAGAAGGTGGCCCCAGAGCAATCCTGGCAAACTTAGGCTCCTGAGTCGACAAATCTCTGGCTGGGTCAGGACCCCTCCATTTGGTCAGACCACAGCTCCACCAGCCAATTGGAGTTATTCCAGATCTTGCCCAGTCACTGGGTTACAGGGGTGCTTCGGTCGAGACTTCCCTGGGCCTTCATCAGAATGGTCTGGATCCCAGCACCTCCCAGAGCAGGTTCTCAACTCTCACTCATTCTCAGGCAAGCAAACCAGGCTTGTTCACCCTGTGGCAAAAGGGTTCCCCACAGCAAGAGTGGCAAACCCCAGATCCGTGTAATTTTCAAGAGTCTGCTTGTGTCCCATTGATCAAACCAAGTCATGCGCCGAGCCCAGGCTCAGGTGCATGGCCACTGAGCAGTCTGTCACAGTCTCATTGTTTCTTTCATCAAAAAATTTTGCTGTTTCTAAATAATCTTTAAAAGTAACTTGTGAGAAATGGGAAAGGCAGACTAGTGTTGACAAGGTTTCTCTAATTCTAGATTCTAGGGGGCCAAGAATCAAGCTAGGCTGCCCCAAACTGTCCCCATTCTAGTATCCAAGGAAACCTTAGCCCTGGGTGAACTGAGACACTGGGTTACCCCATAATTACCCTGTGAGATTCAAACTATTGTCACTCCATTTTACAGATGAGAAAATTGTGGTTTGGAGACAAGAAGCGATTATCCCAGAGGCTCTCGTAAGTAAGCAACACGGCTGAGGTCTGAGCTTGAGCAAAATCAGAAGCATGTTTAACATTTAGGTAAGTGCTATTGCCCTGTCTTAATCACTCGCTTCATTTAAAGTAATGACTGCTAATTACTTTGGTCTGCGTTAAAAAATAAAATTCAAATTTATCTTCCAAGACAAAGGTTTGCCGTATTTAAGAATAGTCCAAAGAATGCCACTATTTCTGAAGAAGTGTAAAAATGCTTTGAAGGGTATCATCATTGCATCAGCAGGTAGTCTTCTGATGAACTACTGGTGCAGTGTTAGCAAAAATGATTATGTTGTCCTTCGTTAAGGTCCATGTCCAGTGCTGTACTTCGTGTGATAATTGCTGACTAAACATGCAGGCACTGTTTTAAGTACTTAGCATGTAGTAATTCACTCAATTCTTCTATATTCCATAAAATAGATGCTATTGTTAGCATTCTTTTTTTTTTTTATAAAGTTGCCAAAGATGACATAGCAAGTAAGTAGTAGAACCATAATTTGAACTTGTCCCTTGTCCCAAGTACATGCTTAATCACCACACACCGTGGCCCCTCTGCTTAGGCATAAAGGTCCAAGATAGATCCCAGGCAACAGTGCACAAGCTCTTTCCATAGAGCTGCAGTATATCCTATGCTTGAAAGAACCACCCTCATTTGGCTGAATAAGTTCTCATTGGTTGATTGAAAACCAAGTGACCTACCACTTCCCACCAGGTATTCTTCCGGTGGAGGTATGACAGTTTAATGGCCAGCCTGGTCCCTGCCCAAGGAAAGGGTGAAGGAGGCAAATTCATGATCTGAAAGACTAGAAATAGGACACGTCTCTTCCATTCCCACTTTTCTGGCAAGGAGTTAACCAATGACCACTGCCAGCTGCAAGTGGGAGACGCAGACACATTTAGCCATATGCCCCAGAAGAAAGAGAGAATGGATTTTGGTGGACAACTTGCAGACTTCACCACAGAGCTTGTTGTAACATGAATTTGCATTTCCTGGTGTCATGCATCCTTTCACAGTTTTAAAGCCAATGTATTTCTTTTACTGTGAAAAGCTATTGATCTTTAGGGTTCATTTTTCTACCAAGTCTGTGGTCTTTTGTACTGGTTTCTTGGTACTCCTTATTTGTTAAAGAAATTAACTTTTTATCTACGATTGTAGTTTGCAAATACTTACCCCAGTTTGCTTATTTTGTCTTCGGACTGTGTTTCCATTGTTTTTTTGTTGATGATATATCCTATTTTTATGTTATCAAATTTATTAATCTTTTATCTTTATTTTATTTTTGTTTATTTTTAAATTATATTTATTAATCTTTTATCTTCTGGAGTTTTGTATCATACTTAGAAAGACCCTTCTCTCTCATCTTATTTTTAAAAGCTCTCATATTTTCATTTACTACTTTCATGCTTTAAATTTTCTCTAGTTAAATTTTGGTTAATCTAGAATTTATTTTAGTGTAAGGTATGAGGTATGGATTGAAGTTAATTTTTAAGATGGCTATTTAGTTGTCACAAGACCACATGTGAATTAATCCTTTCCCTAATGACTTGAAATGTCATTTTTATCAGTAGTTTCCTGTATAAACTTGAGTGTATGTCTGGGCTTTCTCATTTGTTTATTGATCTATTCTCTACCAGCACTACTCTCACCACCAGAAGTCCTTTTTCTCAGACATTTTTGTAACTATTTTTGATTCTATATCTTGTCTAGTTAAAAAATAACTCACATTGTTTTTTTCAGAATCATTTGCCCAGTTGGCATGGCTTTGCTCATCATTTCATTGTAAACCTTCTGAACCTCTCTGTTTTAGGCATTTTCTTGAACAGAGCATAAAGCTGGGATTTCCTTTGTGATTCAGCCTGGTTTTTAATAGGTGAGTTGTGCTTATTTATGGGTATTCATTAATAGGAAGGACACAGCTGGCCTTAATTTTATCATCATATTTCATGTTATAGTTTCTAGTTATAATTGCTCTTCTTAAAAAAAATTTACAGTGTCCTTTCGTTTGCTGTGTGTTTCTTAGTTTGGAAGGGTGACATTTTTGTTCAGGGAGATATTTAGTCACAGTTTTTAACCCCTTCATGACATAGTCTTCTACTTTTTCAGATATGTGTTTTACTTGTTTCTTTCCCTTTATTTTATATGTATTCTTTATCTTTGTATAGATCCTGCGCTGGTTTCTTTCTGATTGTGACTCATCTTGGAGTGCGGTGAGTCCTCCCTGATCAGCCATTTATAGGAAGTTTCATCGGGGAGCCCAGGGCCCTGTCCTGCTGGCACGACTCCTCTCAAGACCGGGGCGGGCATGAGAGATTCCTCTCCCTGCCCACAGGTGTGTGTGGGGCAGGCACTGTGCTTCCCGCAGGTGCATTTTATCCAGTGGCTCTATCCCTACTTTCATGCCAAGTGTCTTCTGAAATGTTGCTCACAGGTCTGTAGCCGGTGTGCTTTAGATCCTCACAGGTGATGCTAGTCTTTTCTTCCTGGAACTTTCAGATAGTTGCTCATTCATACACTCTGAGAGTCCCTCTGGCCGGGTCTCCATATGCTCACTACATCCTGACACCCTCAGCCCTGGGTGGGATCGTCTCATGAGTCACATCTTCTTTGCATTCTGGGAAATTTTCCTCTACTATGTCTTA